ATTCTACTCAGCTCTGTGGGAGAACTTCCCCCCCCCCATCAGGAGCAACATAGAGAGAGAGAACCTGGCCATATACCTATAAAACTGGGGTTGGAGGGACATGAGACAATACAGCAGGAGTTGTTAGAACAAGAATTTCATGGTTTGGATTCCAACTAATTCGTAGAACTCTCTTCCCCAACAGAGGGAGTTGGCTGAGATGCTGAAGTTAGCAAATTGCCTGCTTCATGCAGTCACCATGTCCATTTCAGCATGTTTTCTATGGATTTTCTCCCACGTCATCTATTAATTACCTAATTACATTGTCTAATTATGGGATTCTTCATGTATTTATACTGATTACGTAATTGGGAGCAATTACACTAATTAGGTTAATGACATAGGATAACAGACTACAAATTGCTTTAAAGGGACACTGTGAAGGCTGAGAGGCCAAAAACCCTTTGGAGGCAGGTCAGGATCTGTCTGTTAGCAGCTCAGAGCTTCTCTGGCCCGCATCCTCATCTTCACCTTCAGATCCACTCTACAGAACAGTGTGGGGGAACTAGCAAAACTCTTCCCTAAGACCAGGAGACCTGGGACAAAGCAGTGAAGCAGGAATAGTCTGCAGGTCACTCCCAGACCCACTCTTGTGGTAGACAGAATAATAAAGCTCCTCAAAAAGATGTCTATCCCTCATACCCAGAACCTGTGACCTTATTATCTTACACAGAGAAAGGGACTTTGCAGACATGATTAAGGGTAATGACCTTGACATGGGAAGATGATCCTGAATTATCCAGGCGGGCCCAATCTAATCATATGAGTCCTTAAAAAATGGAGAAACTTTCCCAGCTGGGTGGCAGAGATGAGACCATGGAATACAGAAAAGTCAGTTGGAAGATGGCAGCAGGAGAAGGATCCAACACCCCATTTCTGGTTTGGAGAAGCTGAGCAGTTTTGGTCCATGTACAAGAACCAGAGAGAGGCCTCTAGGAGTTAAGGGCAGCCCCAGCTAACAGCTGGCAAGGAGATGGGGACCTCAGTCCTACAGCCCAGGAACTGAATTCTGCCACCTGAATGAGCAAGGAGATGGATTCTACGCTGGAGCCGACGGAAAAGAATGCAGCCCAACTGAACCCTAATTTTGGCCTAGTGACATCTGTGTGGCCCTTCTGACCTATTGAAATATAATATAGCAAGTCTGTAATGATTTGTTACAGCAACAATGGAAAACTAACAAACTTCCTCATTCTCTTCCCCTTTCCTCCCCCCACTTCCTTTAGGGTCCCCCCTGCCTTGCATATTCTCTCATCTGCTCTCTCTCTTATCAAAGCCTGTTTTCAAGAAAACATCTGATAGAATCTTGTCCCCTAAGACAAACATAGATCAGTGTCATCTCTCCCAATGACAAGTGCACTTTCAGTTTTAGCCCTCATTGTGGAATAAGGGATTTTGTCCGTAAAAGCAGAGTGAAAACCTCATCCTTGGAGTCAGATCAGTGGTGTTTCAAATCCCAGCTCAGCCAACTTACTTGCTCTGTGACCGTGGTGAATGGGGACGCTGCACAACCTGAGCTTCAGTTTCCTTACAGTGAAGCAGGAGTGACGGCCTCTCCCTCATACGGTGGCTACAAACACATGACGGGGTTATGCACGTCAAGTGCATGCATGTGTCTGACATATAGAACAATGTCTGACCCACAGACCACGTTCAAATGTATTTCCTTTTCTCTGAAAAGAAACTGAGCCATCAGTGATCAACATGGAGAAGTAATAAGAGAGCAGGAGAACTTCCCTATAGCTAAGAAACCCGGAGATTCTATAAGACAAAATAAAATGCTAGGTGATTGATTTCATATCACCTGAGAACCCACAGCAGGTCTAAAAGATGTAGAATCATCACCTAAATGAAGCTGGGCAGTGGAAGCCACGCAGAAGTATTTGCTACCCTGGCCTGCTTCTGACTGAACAAGGAAGGAGGGTGGGTGGAGACAACGAGGTGGGCTAGCCTCCTCCCGCTTCTGCCCGTTGCAGCACAAAAGGAAAAGACAGCTCAGCACCTAGATTTCTATCAACGACTCCCAGCCATTTTTAAAATGCATGACCCTAAGCAGTCCCTGAGAATGGTTGTGCTGGATGCTGGCAGAGAGAAGGGTAAAACAATGTGCAGAAAGATAATAATAATAGTAGCAGCTAACACTTATGTAACATCTACTCTGTTAAAGCACTAATCTAAGCATTTTGTGTATATTCAATCATGTAATCCTCCCAACATCCTTTGTGGAACTGAGGACACTCTTCTTATAGGCGTTTACAGCTGAGGAAACGAGAACACAAAGAAATACCGTAGTTCTCTCCTGGTTATCGGCGGTCAGAGGGCAGAGCTGAGATTTGCACGGGGCTTGGCTGGCTCGTTGGCAGTACGGCTTACCCTGCTGCTAGAGGTTGGGGTCCAGCTCCTCTTGGTGAGTTTTGGCTGAGATTCTCCAGTTCATAGCAGAGCCATTAGAGTGTTCTTCACAGTAAGGTTGACCTAATGAGCTTTGTTTAAATTTGGTCCAGATTAGGATGGGAGCAACATCCTTGGAGTGAGACTGATCTAGTTCAGAATCCCATATTCATTTTGTCCTAGCTGTATGGTCTTAGAGGGATTGCATAACCTGAGTCCTTACTGATTAACATGAATAATGATGTCTTAAAGGTGAAGAGAGATTCTGATTCTCACATAGCCTCATGAAAAAAAAGTATTAAAGGCATTGAAGTATTGCCCATGGCAACTGGGCTTCATGGTACAATTTGAAGACAAGCAATCTTCCATCTCCCACAAAATATTAACCTGTGTTTGATGTCTTATCTGAAGTTCAGATCTGTGTCAGGATATTGGTCCCGTGTTAAAATACATAGACTTCTGGAGTAGCTGTACCCCATCCACTTGTTAGTTATTGACACCATAATATGAATTAGCTGATAAACATCATTTTTAAGGTGGTAGTAATCCAAGTCTGAAAACAAGGATAGTAAAGGTACTGAGGTCTGCCTATTTTGCTGGTTTATGCTAAGGAATGATTATGAACTAATGCATGTGAAAACAACTAAGTGAAAAGGGCTATCTCATTTCAATTCCAACAACACTTATGGGGCACCTCCTGTTTGCCAAGGACATGGAAAGAATTGCTACTGAGTCAAATAGATGCTCTTTGAGGTCTTCTTTTAAGGTATTAATCTAAGAAAATGGAGAGTAAAATATTAAAATGTAGAATGAGCATAACCCATCTCACATCACATCAGTGATGGAGATGGAGACACATCTCCATCATCGGATGTGCCCCAACGTTTTGTAATTATCAAGTTCAACTTCATTTCCCTCTGACCATTTCCATTGCTTCTTGACAGCAAGCTCTATGTCCTGTTTATCTTCCCAGTATATAGTAAATCGCTCGGCGCACCATAGGTGCTCGGTAAGTAGTCACTGAGTGAATGAATGAATAAATGTAGGAACAAAAGGCCCAATGGAATTTCTCACTAGAAATTTAGCTGTAATCTTTCTACAGTTCCCAGACACCAGGACTGTGAGTGCCTCCACCCTAGTCTTTCTGATGCTTTCATTTCCAGGGTGGCTGAGCAGCCTTCCCCCATACCTGGCTTCATCACCACATGTCTCTCAGCCAGGAGCCGCCCTCCTTTCTCCTCTTTGGCAGAGTGGCCCTTTGGGCAGCATTCCTGTACTTCTTCCTGGCGTCAGAGCTCAGACGCTGGTGAAATCACTTACCCGCTGCTTCATTAGCTCTGGCTGCTACCTGAGACCCCGCACATAGCATCGCCTAGCAGTTATTGATCTCCCGTTTCAGGACTGAGCAGAATGATTTCACTTTGAACTGACTAATTGTGTAGAGAAAGGGCTTTAAAACCAGAAAGGAAAAAGCCATTAAATTCTCTAAGACAAAACCGAGGTCACCCTGCTAAGTACTACCCCCATACAGATGTGCTATTAAAACAGATGTTCATGCAGACAAGCCTAAACTGTTAACAAGATTGCCATCTCCCTGAGGATGCCTTGTTTTGCAAATGACTTCCTAGGTTTTGGGGGGCTCTGGGGGGGGGAATGGGGGAAGGGAATCCTGTATCCCTATGGGGCAAACAATTCCATCCATTTCGTCCACTCCTGTGTCTGTCACAGAGCTGGAGTACATGGACATAGCCAGTGTCCCAAACAAGGAAGAGATTTAAGCACCATCCAGTCACACTATGTGGACTCATACAAGTTTAAGGGTAGAAGGATTATCTAGGCCACAGCTTTTCAGACTATATTCCTTGGAGTCTTAGAGTTCTGAGAAGCCGCTTTAAGGGCTTTCGGGGTCGGGGAGGGGTGGGGGAGAGTTGCAGCAGAACTGGTGGGTTTCTGGTTTTCTATCTATCTTTCACTCATCCCCCCTTCCACCATGATTGATCTGTTACATATGAATAATAAGATTGCATTTGGGAAAAAAAAAAGAATTTCCTTGCTAAAAAATATTTTAAGCTATGGATGCAGGCAGTATAGCATGGTGATTATAAAGGTAGACCTTACCATGAGACTGGCTGGGTTTCAATCCAACTTTCGTCGCACATTGGCTGCGGGACTGTGCCACGCTGTCCACTTGTTCCCCTGATGAGATCCCTTCCCTCCTGGACAAGAACTTTGCTCCCACCACTATTTTTTCTCTCTTCGATTTCTTCATTTTTTTTTAACCTGAATTATTTCATCAACATGAAAACATCTTTTAAAAAAAGGGGGGTCTTTGGATCCCCTCCCTACCTCTTGCTACTATCTCTCCTTTCTTCTAGTCTCCAAAACTCTTCAAAAGGATTGTCCTTCTTACTCTCTCCACTTCCTTCGGCCCCATTATCTCTTGAACCACTCCACAAAAGCTGCTTTCACCGAAGTCTCTGATCTCATGCTTCAGTTCGGTTGGGCAATTCCAAGTCTACTTTGTTCACCCTGTTGGAAGCAACTGACACAGTTCAGCAGGACACGTTTCCTGAAAAATTGTCTTCCCTTGGCTTCCACAACACCACATTTTCCTCTGCACTTCTTACCGCACAGACTGCTCCTTTCAGTCCCCTTCACAGGCTCCTCCTCAGTTCTAATATCCTGGCCTTCACAAGTTACCTTCTTGTCTTCCAGCTCACAGTTTGTCTCTTCCCACCTGACCTGGGTCTTTGTGACCTCAAGATAAATGTCTTGTAACGTAGCCTCAAGACTCCTCTCACCTGACTTGTTCTCTGAGGCCACCTAGGGTTTTCCTGGAGTGTTTCAGCCCTGCAATACCGATTGCCATACCTAATAACTTTAAAAAAATATAAACTGATTATTTTGAAATCATGACGATATAGACAACTTTTGTGGTGACATCTGTCGATTTAATGGTGTGTATACATCTGTGAATTTTCTTGCCAGTTCAGAGTACGTGGGCGAGGTTAAGATGTTTGAGGCTAAGAGACAGTCTTTGGCCATTAGAACAGAGCAAGTCAACTAACAGCTCTAAAGGAAGCAGAATTGTCATAGTACTTTATAACAAGTACTGGAGATAGGAGGCCAAATTCAAACTCAGATCCAAATTCAGTTCCCTTGAAAAATCTTACTCAAATATGTTCCTCTACCTTTTGGGCATATGTGAATTTTTACCTCCACATTGCCACTGAAAGCCTTTCAGGGAAGAACTCAAGTTTGGCCAGTCAATTCAAGTTAATGACTTTTATTGAAACCCAGGACTCTAGCGAGCAGTCGTTAAACTAGAAAACAGTAACAAAGAGAAAAAAAAAGAAAAAAGCAAGTATCTGGAAGAACTTGTAGCATTACAATAATATAAAGCAAAAGAAATTTTCACTTCTCCTGATCCCAAGTTGGCATTTTGAGGATGAAATCATTGAACTTCACAAACCTTACCTTGATAGAACCATATCTTCTAGCACACCTCCCGGCAGCTGTGAGTTACTATTATTTCCACCATAATGAAAGAAATTGAGGCGTCTTACAGAGGTAAGGTGTCTAACTCACAGCCACATGGAAAATTGGGTCAACTTAGAGTCAGAATCCCAGCCACCTAATCTGTGGTTATGGAATGAATCTGCCAAATGATGCAGGACGCAATTGAGTAAATGCCTATGCAGATGGCATTGTGCATTTAGTAGGCACTCAATAAATTTCATGGAATGAGTTTAAAAAAAAAACACAAAACAAATATAAGTTCTACTGTGACTCCCAATCAAAACATGCCGCATACAGGCCCTAGAGAAAGAGGGTTTAGAACCAGCATACACAGGAAAAGCCTAGAGGGTCACGGTCTGTATCTAATGTCAGCTCTGTTTCCTTTCCTGAGGACAGGATCAGATTGCCCATCAATGCCGCAGATGCCTCTCTGCCCAGCTGTTGAGAGACACACGATGAGACGGACATGCGCTTTCCTTATGGCATGTGAAGGGTTGGCTGCCTCTACCCCAAATTACCAGGAAGTAGGGGAAAGTTCACAGACCAGCAGGAGAAGCACATTTTTTTAAACTTAGGTTCTATTAACATGCTGTGTCTTTCTTTAGAATGATGAGTCTGGTGTTTTGCTATGTTTTAATAAGTGCCTTAAACTATATGATTGTTAATATCAGTTATGCAAAAAAATAATAAGTTCCTTAAGAGACAGACAGGTAAAAATACATCCTGTGTGAATTTCTCCTGGGGGGTCTTTGGTGCTGGCACAAGCCAGCTACCCATAAACACCCTTTGGCCACATCATTGAACTTGGGGCCACACAATGAATCTTTAATGTCATATTTCAACATTTTGACTTTTTTTTTCTTTTGACATATTTTGAATATTTTGAATATTCCCCTTTGGACATTTATATGGTGGTACATTGGGGAACCTATATTTTTCTCCTCTTTTCACACGAAGAGTGGTCCCCTGCAAATTCCATCTCATACTGTGGAACCATGGTGATTTCTTCAACCAGACTTGGGGTGGTTAATCAGAAATAATTTCCCTTGAAGAGCAAATTACCTCATGTTGTGGTTGGATGATCATCACAACCTAAAATAAAAGATGGTGTGGATAACCCTCCGGAAAATTAAAGAAAGGTCAAGAAAACCGGAGGGAGAAGGGCATTCTGCTAGTGCTCCCCTGACTTTTGAGTCTTCCAGAAACTTTTGAGTCTCCCTGCTCATCACCGGTGTTCTGAGGAACATTTTATAAAGAAAATTTCTCATTAGTCTAACTTGGGAGCCACGTGGTAACACACAATCCCCCCCCCCCTTAATTTAGCGATTAGCGAAAAGGTTTTGTTTGATTGGGTGCTTCGTTTGGAGATTTATGGGGGCTTTTATATCTGTTTTTATAGTTTCATAGTCAAACTAATTGTTGTCAATGATTTAGGAGGTATTGGGCTGGGGGGTGGGAACCATAAAGCCAGCATCCGAAGACGGAAACACCGTGTGGGCAGTTTGAGAGTGTGAGCGAAGCAGGCAGACTTTTTGCAAAGTAACCGTGGCATTTTCCATGGCTATTCAGCACTGTGTGCCCTT